ACAAAAAAGAAACATTAACCTCGTCCTTCGATGCAACATTTGTACTTCCCATCTCAGGACGAAAGCCCGGCCTGCGGGTTTTCCCCTGAACCCCTTCTAAATGTTCCCTTTGTTTCACATCCAAACACATCAATCCAAAAATCACTTGCTTCCACTCGCTCCTATCTAAATATGCTCACGCATGCTTGCTGGAAGTACAACCCCTGCACCAAAACCTCCTTTACCACCTCCCTCCAACCTTTCCTAGGCCAACCCCAAACCCGACTTCTTTGCACTACAGATTTTTGCACTCTCCACATCATTCTATTGCGTTCTATCTTCTTAAATGTCCGACTCACTTCAACAACCCCTCCTCAGCCTTCTGGATAATATTTTTTGTAACCCACACCAAATTTCCAAACTATGGAGAGACTGCATTATATTCACACCACACATTGCCCTCAGACATGACATCTCCACTGCCTCCAGCCTTCTTGTTGCAATATTCACAACCCATGCTTCACACCCATATAAGAGCGTTGGTATAACTATATTATCATACAGGCCCCTCTTTGCTTTCACGCTAAATGTTCATATATATATAATATATATATATATATATATATATATATATATATATATATATATATATTTATATATATATAAATATATTAATAATGAAACCACGAAACAATTGTATTGATATATTTACCAAACTGCGGCCAGCCAGGATTAGATCCTGCGACACACTCTCTCCTCGAGAGACAGAACAATGTTCACATTGCCTTAACTACTTAACCAGCGATCCTACAAGAATCATGCACCCAGCAGAGCTAGGTGTTGTTCATGATCCCAGGGCACTCGTGGTGGTGGTATGACTGGCACAGTCAGTGCCAGTCATACAAGCACAGTCAGTGCCAGTCATACAAGCACAGTCAGTGCCAGTCTTACAAGCACAGTCAGTGCCAGTCTTACAAGCACAGTCAGTGCCAGTCTTACAAGCACAGTCAGTGCCAGTCTTACAAGCACAGTCAGTGCCAGTCTTACAAGCACAGTCAGTGCCAGTCATACAAGCACAGTCAGTGCCAGTCATACAAGCACAGTCAGTGCCAGTCATACAAGCACAGTCAGTGCCAGTCTTACAAACAGAACTATCAACAAAAAAAGAGTATTAACCTTAATGTGAGGTAGGAAGCGCTTAACTGCGAGGAACTTGTTAAGTAACTCCTGGTTTTCCACCAGAATGATCTGAGCTTGGCAGTTGAGTGCCAGGTGCCTACAAGCCTCCGCTGAATTGGTTGTGTACACACCTGCTGCTATACCACCCGCATATATGGCACCTGTGCCAAAAATATTCGTCTTAATAGATGTATAACTTGGCAGAATAAATGGATCTCTTTGTGATTCAGGACTTCGATAAATTGATTTAATTAATTTCTTCTTAATAACAATTCAGTGTTATGTTTATTAGAAGACACAAACATTAAATTTTTCATTTTTTTAATCATTATATTAAACAGTTTAGTTGAAGACAAACTAAACAGTCCATCTAGCAGCTTGACATGACTTAAATACATTACATAACTTGTCTTAAAGATGCTTACCAAAGTTAGCAATCAACCACTCGGGAGAGTTGAAACCCATGATGCAGACACCGTGGAATCTTTCTAGGCCTAACCTAATAAAGGCCTTCGCTACTGTTTTGGATTCTTCAAAGTATTGTTTATATGTCCAGTATCTGAAACAATAAATGATTTCTTTAATTATTATTATTATCTGTTACAATACTCGTCTTCTTAACCTTCTCCAATGGTATGATAGAGTTTTAAGGTAGCATTCTTGTTGAACATATGGCCTGTTTACGGTTTTGTAACTATAGCTTTTAATAAGAATTCAGGATTACAAAACAAAAAACTAAAACTTAAAGTCTTTACTAGTAGAGTTTTAGCTTAATGTATGATATGTTATGATTAAAATAAAATAAGGAGTTTAACTCTTACATTTCTCTTGGTACGTACTAGTACATTGATATGAATAAATGAACCTCTTGAGGTTGAGCTTTGTACTAAAATCACCAATGATATGCACCTATAAGGGTTATTAAGACCTAGCTAGCCACAAAGTAACTTACAATGCTTATAAAGACTTATCTGAACTATCAATTCAGAGTATACAAGAACTCGTAAGTGACGGACTTAGTCTCACTCCCATCTAGCATGACTTGGAATAGTTAACATTAACGCCGACAAGGCTTATTCAGTCAACTGAGAGATTAATTCTCTAGAGTATAAATAACTCGAAAGTGACAAGCTTAAGAAAGAAAGTCAGTCATGAAAGAAAAACGACCACCACAGAAAACTTGACATGTCTCTTATGAGAGGTCAATGATTAACCAAGCGAGATATGCTCCCTTGGCTATGCAAGCCCGGACTAGAAGTGAGAGTGCTAGTCAGAGTGAGTGTGAAGGACATACTCTCAGCGAGTGCTGTAAAGCTACTCAGAGCAAGGGTAGTGAACCTGCTCTGAGCGAGGGCGGTGAACCTACTCAGTAAGAGTAGTGATAAAGTTGGTAGAATTACCGACAATATGTAAAGTAAAAGGACACAAGTGCAACTAATGTGATTTACGTAGGTGAAACCGCCAGAAACCTCGACACCCGCCTCAATGAACACATTTACGCATGTAGGAACGATAACCTGAACAACGCCTGTGTACAACACCGAAATTCCACCAATCATCTCATGAAATTCAGAGACGCCCAATTAGTGATCAAAGAAACTAATTTCGCAGACGCAAGTGCCTCGAATCAGCACTGATCGCTGTTTCGAATACAATTAAACAAAACAACGGCAGCTTCACCATCTCCGAAGTCTTAGCAAGAATCCTCCTGAAAACAGTAAACCCTGCCTCATTCCAGTCTATATTTGCCCAACCTATTTTTATGTTACCCAAGTAATAGCTTTTATATCCTTTTACTCATGTACGAATTAATTGCTCTACCATATTGTATTACTTTTGTCACTACCACTAGTGAACATCGAAATGGTACCTCACTAGTATTACACCTCACTCTGAGCCTTTATATACCCTATGTGTCCATGTATTGTTTGTAATGGCTTGATAAAGCTCCTGGAGAGCGAAACGTTGCCACAATAAATGTCACATTAGTTGCACTTGTGTCCTTTTACTTTACAAGAGTAGTGAACCTACTCAGAGCAAGGGTAGTGTATATTCTCTGAGCAGGTACTGTGAACCTACTGCCGGTACCACTGAGGGGAAAAGCCGACGTCACGTTGGTCACGTGACTGAGAACATAAGAACATAAAACGAAGGAACACTGCAGAAGCCTACGGGCCCATGCGAGGCAGGTCAAGTCTCCTACCGGCTTAAGCCAATGCACCCAACCTAGTCAGGTCAGGTCACATTGACTTAAGGGAGGAACACGGCAACCGACCTGTTTAGCACAAGCTATCAGGTCAACTCACACCCACCCACATCTACTCATGTATTTATCCAACCTATTTTTAAAGCTACACACGTTCTGGCCTCTATAAGGGAAACTTGGAGTTTGTTCCACTCATCCAAAAACTCTATTAAAAACCATATTTTTCCTATATCCTTCCTGAATCTGAATTTTTCCAACTTAAAAACCATTGCTGCGAGTCCTGTCTAGGCTAGATATTTTCAGCACACTATTTACATCCCCTTTATTTATTCCTGTCTTCCACTTTACACCTCAATCTTTATCCCCCTAATTCTACGTTCTTTCTAGAGAGTGCAGTTTCGGGGCCCTTAGTCTATCCTCATAGGAAGGGTTTTGATACACGGGATCATCTTTGTCATCCTCCTTTGTACATTTTCCAGAGAATTTATATCCATTCTGTAATACGGTGACCAAAACTGTGCAGCATAATCTTAAATGGGGCCTAACCAAGGATGTATAGAGTTGAAGAAAAACCTGGACTCCTATTTTTTTATCTTCTTGATATGAAGCCAAGGATTCTATTAGCTTTATTGCGAACACTTATGCACTGTTGCTTGTTTCAGATTACTGCAAACCAAACTCCTAAATCTTTTTTCGCAATCCGTAAATTAAGATCTACATTATTTAGTTTATATGTGGCATGGTTATTGTCCGTCCAACATTTAGAACTTTGCATTTGTCTATATTAAACTGCATCTGCCACTTCTCCGACCACTGCATCAGTCTATTCAAATCTTCCTGGAGTGCTCGAATGTCCTCGTCAGAAGAATTCGACGGCCTATTTTGGTGTCATCGGCAAACTTGCCGATGTCCCCTCTTTATGCCTCATCTATGTCGTTTATGTAGATTGTGAACAGCAGGGGCCCAACACTGACCCCTGTGGAACACCGCTCGTGACGCTTCCCCACCTGATTTCACCCCCTTTGCAAACTCTCTGCTGCCTATTTGTCAACCATTCCTCTATCCAGGAAAAAATTTCTCCTCCTATTCCATGTGCTTTAATTTTTCCCCAATAGTCTCTGATGTGGGACCCTGTCAAAAGCCTTACTGAAGTCCATATACACAATATCATATTCATTACCATGATCTACCTCCTCAAATACCTTAGTGAAAAAAATTTTAAAAAATTCGTAAGCAGGAACGCCCCTTTGTAAAACCATGCTGAGATTCGTTGATTAATTTATGCTTTTCAAGGTGGCTACGAACTGCCGGCAATTATTGATTCCATAAATTTCCCCCTATGGAGGTTAGGCTTATTGGTCTATAGTTCGAAGCTAAGGACCTGTCACCTGTTTTGAAAATAGGTATCACATTTGCCATTTTCCACTTATCTGGCACCATGCCATTTTGTAGTGATATGTTGAAAAGATTAGCCAAAGGGGTGCCCAACTCCTCTTTACAAATTTCCCTTTTGAAAACCCTTGCATTTCAGTTCATCAGGGCCTGGGGATTTTTTAGGTTTTAATTTTATCTATTTGCCTAAGGACCATGTCACTTGTGACCCTAATAGTGCACAGTTTTATTATCGTCCTGTTCTACATAATTTATCATTACTGGAATATCGCTGGTATCCTCCTGTGTAAAAACTGAGAGGAAGTATGTTTTTTAAAAATTCTAAAACATTTTTCCCTTTTCACTGTCAGTGAGCTGACCCGAGGAACTTTTGAGGGCCTATCTTGTCCCTGATCTTACTTCTGTATACCTTTAAAGAACCTTTTGGGGTTTGTCTTCGATTCTCTTTCAACTTAACCTCATAATCTCTTTTGCTTTTCTAAAATTCCCTTTTTTAATTTCTCTCTTTACTGAATATATCGATTTCTTAATTGCCCCTTCCTCTTTTGATTTGCCTAATATGCCTCTCTTTTGACCACTCAGATATTTTAATCTATTGTTCATCCATTTAGGATCATTTTGTTTGATCGATTTCCCTATTTGGAACATAATTTGACTAGCAGCTAGAACTATGCCATGGAAAGCATCATATCGGCAACCATCACCACCTACCTGACCCTTTAAAGTCGGGTCATTCCATTCACCCCACCTAATTAATTTTTCAGCCCCAAAAAATACCAAGCGAAAGTCAGGACGGAATTTGATTGCCTTTATTGGGGGAACCCCATGAATGTTAAAACGGGTGATTTGTGACACCCCCCCCAAGCTCATCTTTAAACCCTCAAGATTATTAATTATTTTTTTCCCCTACGGCAAGAACCAAGTAAAAGGGGGGTTATTTCCCCCTATTTGGCTCTGTCACAAAAAAAAAAACAACCGACGTATCAAGAAGTCACCCACTCAAAATTTTCCTTCAAATTGCCCAGTCATCTGTCTATAGTTAAAATTTCCCCCTTTACACAACATTTTCGAATTAAATGTTTTCGAATTTCGTCCCTTAAAAGTTTACTCACTCCCTAAAAATTTTGGGGGGCCCTGTAAATCACCCCCAAAATTATTTTTTTCTCGCCCTCGAGAAGCTGAAACCAAAACGATTCATGGCTGACGCTTCTAATTTAAATTTCTTGTAAAACCAACAATTTAAATTGTCTTGACATACATCGTACCCACCACCTTTCCTTTGACCCTGTCAGTGGGGAATAATTTATACCCTTGTATGTGACATTAAAGGGGGATCTCTTTTCCTTCAATTGAGCCGTCTTGTTATAGAATAATATCTATGTTTCCTCACTTGAAATTTAATTTTTAGCTCACTATTTTTTTTCTAACACCCCGCTATAAAAAGAAAACCCTTAAAGGGGAGCTAGCCCTTGCTGCCCTTTGCTGTCCCCCTTTTTTTGTGACCTTTTTCTATTGTCTTTTTTTAAAAATTCTTTGCAAATCCCTTTTATCTTTTTACTGTTTAAAAACCCAAAATGGTTAACCTTTTTGTTTCCCAACACCCCATACCTCTATCTTCCATCAGTTTAAAATAAAGGGCATTTCCCCAATGGCCTTCTCAATCGAGTCAAATGTCCACCCCCCCCCAGAGAGATTCCCCCATCCCTTGCATACAACATTTTTGCCAAAAAGTTTTCCGTTGTCAATAAAGGGGTTTCAATTCCCTTTGCATTTCTGTCTAGCCCATTTACCCAATTCCCCTAGACAACCATTCATTTCCTCCCCCCTTTAGGCAAGTTCTCATATGTTTGGGCCCTCCCTTGACTTAATGAAATCTATAGTGACCGTACTTATCAGCGCTCTTCTTCCACCCTTCCCAATATCATTTCCACCAGCAGAGACGATTGGGCTTTTTCCCATTACCTCTGATATTAACCAGCCTGTTGACAGGGCCCCAAACCAGCCCCGGGGAAGCACACCTATCTCTCATCTTCTTTTCCCTATTACAAAAACACGTCAACATATTTCCTGAAGTCCCCAAACCCCAAAGAATGCGCTTACCTTCATTAGCGGGGGCAGTAGAAACCCTTACCTTCACGGGCCAGAATACATTCATCCTGGAAACAGGGGAACGTTTTCCCTACCTTAAATCTTCATCTTAATTTTCCCTTTACTCTGATGCGCCCCCCCTTACTGTGAAAACTGCCATTGTACATTTGCTGGCTCCCCCCCCACTCTGGTAGCCGTTGCACCTCCCCCCCAACACCTCCCACAGTGAAGACAGACTGCCCCTCACTGCTAGAAGCCCTTCCCCACATCTCCAACCACCACACTCTCTCCCAGCCCATTGAGGTGGACCTTCACCTCCTAATCCCTCCTGGAGAAAAAGACCTCCTCCTTCAACCTCCAACCTCAGTTTTAAAACACTGCAGAAGCAAGCCATCTTTGAACCTCCCGCTAATCCCCAAAGCAGCTCGGGGTCTGTGACCTCATGCGATGCCAAGGGAGACTTAAGTCCCTAAGTGCTAACCGGCACTTACACAGTGGTTTCCCATTTCATGACAATATTAACAACGCTAAAAAAATTTTTTAAAAATAATACAACATTACATTAGCATATATTTTAAAAAAAAAAGGGGCACATCCTTGTATATAATATAACGGGTATGGCCATACTGTAACATTAGATTAATAATAAAAGATATAATAATAAAAATAATAAAAATAAAATTTAATAATAATAAAATAAAATAATAATATTTTTAAATTTTTATTATTATTATTATTATTATATTTATTAGCTTATTTAGTAATATAATAATAATAAAAATAATAAAAATAATAATAAAATATAAAATATTGTTAACCGACTTGCTTTCACCTGCAGCTCACAAGACTCACCCCACGACCCCTTTTGGGGGCGGGGCAATGGCAGACCAGGGGCCCTGCTTCCCCTACGAGCCCCGTGGGGGGGGGAGGGGCTACCCGGGGGGACATTTGTCCCAAAAGGGGGGGGGTACTTTTTCCTCCTCCCAGGGGAGACTTAGGCTCAACCCCCCCCAAAAGGGACCAAGGGGCCGGGTCACCGCTATTGGAAAAGACCGGGCCCGGGGGACAAGGACCGGGACAATACCGCGAATGAAAAAAATAAAAAATATTTATATCTTATTTTTATTATTATTGTTTTATTATTTTTATTATTATTTTTTTTTTCAAAAAGAAAGAAAATTTTAACGAGTTTATTTTGTTAATAAAACTAATTGAATTTTAAAGAAATAGAAATTTTTCATGTTTTGTGACGGGTATTACGGAAGCGGGCAAAAGAAAGTCGGGGCGGCGGGACTCGAACCATTGCAATGAGTGCTAAACCCCACATCTGTGCTTAACCACTGGCCCCCAACTAGCTTTGATACTCGTCCAACTAGCTGTGTTT